AGCAGCAGCAGCAGCAGCCACCAAGCTGTCAAGATTGTGTTTAATAAAAAAGAGGATACTCAGGAAATGGGACACAAAAAAAGTGAAATGATCCTAGTAAATTCAAATACTACAGTGGTTGGCACTGTTGCCACACACCTAAAAATCAGTTTGAAAATGAAACATACACCTACACTATCTTTTGTAGCTTGCATCTCCTGTTATCATTATTGTATTCCTGTAATGATGCTGTAATATCTGAGCAGAGTTCAAAGGTCTATTTGTGCCAAGTTAAGATGAAGTGAAGCCTGTGTGTCACCTGTGTGATTTGGACGAGGGTGACAGAATGAAATGCATTTTATATCCTACTGTCCGCGGTGTCATGTTTGAGTTTAACCTTTTATGAAAATGTCAAGACATCCTACATATAAATGTAGACTGCAGTGCAAGTTCTGCCGTAAACGCTTCTCCTCACTGTATGAAAGCTTTGTTTGTGTAATTTGTTGAATTTATATACTGATATACTGTGTTTGACATATGGATGTAGTATCATGTTTGCTTGCTTGCTTTGCTTATTGTTTTCCCCAGTGGAAATTGTGTAGCCGAGGTGGTAAGCCTCCCAGATGTCGACTCATCTTGTCTCATAATCAATTTAGTCAGTAGATGATGGCCTAAACAATAGCCACGCATGGCACTGGCTGTGTGAAACACTGCCTCTGTTCTCTTTCTAAACAGGTTAAGGCTATATTTCATAAACGCTGACTAATTTTTAAGATGTTTGTAAGGGCTGTTTATTTTACACTGTGTCTTTAAAATGGAACACTGTGATTCTGTATTCCTCTCTGTAAAAGGAGACAAAAAAATCAGCTGCTTTAAATTCATCAAAACAGGGGAGGAATCTTGCATTTGTGGTTTTCACCAAATTAACGTGTGGGTTATAAACACTGCGAGTGCTGCAAATCTCCTGAGATGCCTCCACCACCTGAGGTAAGTCTGGCTGTGAGCCAAAAAGTCCCAGGTCATCTCTTGAAAGCATCTTTGAGGAGGCTACTGTACATTGAAGAGCATGAAAGCAGGGAGATGCAGTTTGAAGTTTATCATCCTGTCTCTCCCTCTCTCTCACATTTTCTTTCAAATTAAAATAATCTTTTGCTTGGTGACGTAATTAAGTAGCTAACAATATTATATTTATAGATAATATTTATCTCTCTCTCTGTCTCTCTCTCTCATCTGTGTGTGTGTGTGTGTGTGGCAGGACCCACAGTCTTTCCTTGTGTCTTCTAGCCTCAGGGCAGTGCATGTTGACTGTACCACAATCATATTGCATTGTAACCCTAAACATGCACCTTAGGTGTCTTTGAGTGCCTGTAGAGTTGGGAATGATTTATCAAGACTTGTGATGCGTTCACGTGTTATATTGTCTTGTAATTATACCTTGACCTAGTTGAATAACTTTTAAGTGGTGGTTTATTTAATCAATTCTCTGTACTCTGTCTCTTCCACCGTGGCACTCTCTGTCTCTCTCTCTCTCTTCTCTCTTCTCTTCTTCCTCTTATTCATGCTCTGTCTCTCTCTCTCTCCCTCTCTCTCCTCCGGAGCTTATCTCTGTGCGCATCGTCAGCATCAGTTTGAAGTCAAATCTGACAGCCGCTGCCTTGCCCGGTCCTTTTTTTTCTGTCTCTCCCGCTCTCTGGTGGTCATCCCGTCTCGTTTAAGAGGTACAGACCCGGATTATTCAGCTAAACGTGTGTAATTATTGATGTACTTTTTTGGGTGGGTG